AAGTAATTTAAAGGTTAACCAAACTTAGGCTCTACTTATTTCCATAAACAGCATCAGTAACGCAGCTTTCTGCTACTGGAAGTTAGAAAAGTAGCTGTTTACACACAGACGGAAATGGTGCATTCAATGATCCTCAGAAACTTCAATTTTACAAGTTCCAGTGACTTAATCTCAGAGGTAAATTGATTCCAGTTTTTCCCCTCAGAGATCAATATTTTCTCCAACATGGTCACTGTTAATACCTTATCAATGACAAAAAGACTTTCTGAGCAGTCAAACATAATTGTCTTCTAAACAATTACAAAAAGCCCCAGAATGACGGACTTTTTTTAATAATTTATAAAGAATGCCTATAAAAGGGTGAACAGTAGTTTCGCTGCTGTTGATGCAAGTGGCAGCCATCTTGAATGTGAAAATCGGATCACATCCCACTGCACCGACGTTCCACCTCATAGCACCTCGTAGCAGGTGGAACTGCCCACTTGAAGCTGAGCATTTTATTTAATTTATTAGGTGAACGTTTGTTAAGGCGTTAATTCGTCTGGAAAACCCTTAACAGCCATGAAATGTTCCCGTCTGACAACATTATGTCGACTAAAGGCTTTTTAAACTCAAACACCAACCAAAATGAAGCTTGAGGCAGAAAGATGGATGAAGATGCCCGATCGTCCGTTTAAAGGATCCACAATCCGTCACCGAATGGTTTCCAAGGCCCTGGTTAAAGTCTGGATAGACTGAGCGGACAATAAACAGCCCATAAAGTTAGAAAAAACATGCTATCATATATGATTTACTGATAAATACGTTTTTTAAGGTAATAACTTAGTCTGAAGGATTGAATATAAGCAGCACTAGATTAAACGCATTCATCAGATCAGACTCAAGATTTAGTGAGTCCACCTGTTTTCAGGAGGACTTTCTCACTTCAACATAGATTCTAACTACTTTCTACCCGCTGATCACAGCTAATATAGCAAAGCTGCTCTCTGCATTGAACACAGGAGCATCAGAAGCATCTGGACTCACTTTACTGGACGTCTGACCTTAATGAGGATCAGAGATGAAGCAGCAGAAGCTTCTGGACTCACTTTACTGGACGTCTGACCTTAATGAGGATCAGAGATGAAGCAGCAGGAGCTTTATTGATGCTGAGGATGTGTTTTGCATGAACATAGCATCAGATTTAGCTTCCTGGCTTTTTGTAGGGACAGAGTTAAAACCTCTTTTTGTGTTTGATCGATTAGAAGACAGACAGTGCTGTAAGATAATGTAACATCATTGCTTTTACAGTGTTGGATTTCTGTTTGTTTTTTTCTTATTTTGGGAGAAGAGTCATTATTTTGCATTTTTTTCCTGACCTCCACAGAAATGGCTGAAGATGTCTGTGGATTCTGAGAACTCCTGTATTCTGGTGGCGTCCCGAGAATCCAGGACGTCCTGCATCTTCCAGACAGCTGATGAGAACGATGAAATCCCAGGCGTGGGAGAGGAGAGGTGAGCGAGATCCTAGAATCCAGAGCACCTGCTGTTAGCGCAGCGATTCAACGCATCTTCTTCCTCCTCTGTCCGGCAGCGTTCTGGAGATGCTGAGTTACTCCAAGTTCTCGGACCTGGAGACATGGCTGTGCATGCCGTCCTCCGTCCTGCTGTCCAGGCCGCTGGACATGAACCGCACCTGCTCCTCCTGCTCCACCTTATCATCCAACCACTCCTCCAACTCGCCGACCATGTCCTCTTCATCGTCTGCAGCCTCCATCTCCCGGCGCTCCATCTGCAGCGAGCCAGGAGACTCTCTGCTCAGGTGAACCCGCTGCTGCTGTCCGGTTTCACTCATCGACTGAACATTTAGAAAAAAGGAGTCAGTTTCAGGTGCTGAGATGGTGGAGAATCCTGCAGTCAGACACCTTTCAGTGGTTTGGTTATTAGTCGTGTAGCAAAGCCCCAAACGTCTCACTGACTCACCGAAGCCTCGACTTTTCACTGTAGCAGCTCACCAGCACCTGAATTACTCAGCCAGTCTGGACGGGTGGATTAAGAGTTTTATTTTATTTAATGAAGATCCTCATCACAGTCACCACAGTTACTTCAGTCACACAGAAAATTAAAGTCGTAGGGAAGCTGCTGGTCCAAACGTTGCATTTCTTAGTTCTCCCGAGTGGTGCCCGACTTTACAGGAGTGAATACAGTGAATGTGATTGG